GAGATTTCTATAGCCATGTTTTGGCAAATGCAGTCAGATATACGATCTTAATATATATATCTGACTGAATTTGCTTAAACGTGGCTAAATAACTTTCAAGTGCATCTTAACAATTTGACATCTAAGTCGAACGGAAAACAGTAAAAAGTCACTAGCTAAGGTTCAACAATCACAGCTTTATTGCTGGCAACAGACGGTAAATTTATCTCGCAAAAGTAACAGCGGATTTTGCGATGAAATTAACAACGAGTTTGAAACGTCGGAAAAGTATAACTTTTTAGTCAGTCAAACTATGAGGCCCAAAGCTAAGTCTCTACCGAAAACACTAATTTAAAATCCACAATCTTTGAGTACAGAAGGGCTTTCTGAGGCAAAATCACCTACACTAAACACTCACAAAGCGTTTTTATGCTTGGCACAAAGTTTTCTGGTAACACGAGCTCAAGCACATACCAGTCAACACCTTCGGTAAATCACAAAATAAATGACTTTGACGGCAATCACAACATTTCCGAAAACCACTCATAAAATTAACACGGGCGAAACATCGTCAGATTACTCCGTAAAACTCTCGCTTTCTCCACATAAATCGTCAAATGGAACTTTTCTTGACTCACACCGTGGATTTATTCAAGATCCCGTATGTAAACCAGCGGTTGAAAAGGACACATGGAGCCCCCGTCTTCAAAACAATTTTTCACTAAGTCTTTGGCCTGCTCAAAAGTCAGCATCAATTTCTTTCTCGCCGAATAGATTTCACCTCTAGAACCTAGCTACTTTTTGAGGCCAAAGACATGTTACTGCCAACAACCAAAGCTCGCAATATCCAATCTTTCCGTCTCAAGCCCGGGATCAGTCTTTCACCCGTTTAGCCCGAAATGAGACGAAATACGAGAAGATATTAGACGAAGCAGACGTTGCCAGTCGTGAGGTTTGTTCCTTCATAAGGATTTATGATGCCTTCCAGAAAACTTTGCTCAAGGCAGCCAAAAAAAACTATAGGCCCAGTTCAGACGCCGAATTTTGTATGAGCCGAACCTAATTCGAATTATAAGGCCGACCCAAATTATTTAGACCGGCTAATTATAAAATGATTCAGACGCCGATCTTAATTGCAGTTGAACTTAGTTCAAAAGGCGAAACATGTTCATTAATCCGTCAAACTGCGTACAAAATACGTTATAATGATTATTGCATTAGACTTAGTACATGAAAAGTTCGGCGTCTGAATCAAAGCCGTTCGAAAGTCGCTCTAAAGGGGAAATTCCTGGCCGGGCTAGCCGAAAATAACTGCTGAGCCGTTCCAAATTGAAACAGGCGTTCCTAATTGATTCAGATGCCGAACTTTTCATGAATTTAATTCAATGTATTAAGTTCGGCTCATGAAAAGTTTGGCGTCTGAACTGGGCCTAAGACAACCCACTATGAGAGCCGACTTCAGTCTAAAACGCGCGCTGATTCAGAGAGAATTATGCCAAGTTATGAAAAAGCGTTTTGGGAGGGATGGTAGGTTAATAGTCAGTGAGAAACTCATCAAAGTCTTTCTACTGCAACCTATTCAGTAAATATTCGGTACAAAATAAATAAATAAAAAGTAACTATCAAAAAGAAAAGAAACCATGTTCCACTACAAGACTCAGTCACAAGGTATATGAGAGAGATTTCTATAGCCATGTTTTGGCAAATGCAGTCAGATATACGATCTTAATATATATATCTGACTGAATTTGCTTAAACGTGGCTAAATAACTTTCAATTTGACATCTAAGTCGAATGGGAAACAGTGAAAAGTCACTAGCTAAGGCTCAACAATCACAGCTTTATTGCTGGCAACAGACGGTAAATTTATCTCGCAGAAGTAACAGCGGATTTTGCGATGAATTTATCAACGAGTTTGAAACGTCGGAAAAGTATACCGTAAAATTCCGAAAATAAGCCACTCCAAATATAGGCCCCCCAAACCGGTAACGCAAAAAACCTTCCGTTAAATCGCTCTTCCAAATATAAGCCCCCCGGGGGCTTGTACTTGGAAAATTGCCCTCCAACACAAAGTATAAGGGTGTTATCTTACAAGTCCGTGAATTTCTTGAATACAAAAGTAATAAAGGTAACATCAGCACAGACATTTTTTAGAAACCAACGGATACCCACCCATACCTACATTGGACTTCGGCGCACCCACCGCATTTAAAGTAAAGTGCACCATACAGCCAAGCCTTAAGACTTAGGAGGATACGCTCATTAACGCGCGTACTAGAGCAAAGAATATTGGAATATTCCAATTTTTTCGTGGCGTGTGGGTATAAAAGAGATAGGGCACTATCTGAAATGCGCAAAGTTCTGTCACTGACACAAGACGAGAGTTTGCGGGCGAGAGAGAGGCACACCACCAACCGCATACCCTTAGTAACCACATACAATCCACGTACCTCATATATTGCTGAAGTGGCGAACAGGAACTGGCACTTCCTCCAATCAAAGGAAAGACTGGCTCACATTTGTAGAGAACGACCAATTATCGCATATAGGAGGTCAAAAAGTCTACGCGACATACTCGTCAGTACCAAATTAACAGGCAGAACTCCTGAAGGACATACCACCACAATGGGTAGCTGTGGTCCTTGCAATAAACCAAAATGTAGTTGGTGCGTGCTTATAAACAAGACCTCTACTTTTACGGGCACGCGGCGGGATGGCAAGGTGTTTGACATATTCCATATAGTGAATTGTNACCTACATTGGACTTCGGCGCACCCACCGCATTTAAAGTAAAGTGCACCATACAGCCAAGCCTTAAGACTTAGGAGGATACGCTCATTAACGCGCGTACTAGAGCAAAGAATATTGGAATATTCCAATTTTTTCGTGGCGTGTGGGTATAAAAGAGATAGGGCACTATCTGAAATGCGCAAAGTTCTGTCACTGACACAAGACGAGAGTTTGCGGGCGAGAGAGAGGCACACCACCAACCGCATACCCTTAGTAACCACATACAATCCACGTACCTCATATATTGCTGAAGTGGCGAACAGGAACTGGCACTTCCTCCAATCAAAGGAAAGACTGGCTCACATTTGTAGAGAACGACCAATTATCGCATATAGGAGGTCAAAAAGTCTACGCGACATACTCGTCAGTACCAAATTAACAGGCAGAACTCCTGAAGGACATACCACCACAATGGGTAGCTGTGGTCCTTGCAATAAACCAAAATGTAGTTGGTGCGTGCTTATAAACAAGACCTCTACTTTTACGGGCACGCGGCGGGATGGCAAGGTGTTTGACATATTCCATATAGTGAATTGTCAATCAACCTTTGTGATATATATAATTGAGTGTCGAATTTGTAGATTACAATATGTAGGGAAGAGCGAGCCAGCTTTCAACCTGCGCCTTAATAATCACAGGAACCATATTAAGAGAGGAGTCTACTTTTGCGAACTATCAGAGCACTTTCTCCACAACAGCACATCTCATGACTTTGGCAAAGACGTCACAATTGCGATCATTGAACAAATCAAACAGAGTAACATGACAATTGAACGGAAAAAAGAAATACTCCGAGCTAGAGAAATATTTTTGGCAAAGTCGGCTGAACACATTGCAACCGAACGGTCTTAATAAGAGAATGGGCTAGAACTCAGAGTCGAATATACCTTTTTATTATATAAACACCAATGAAATACCAGGTGAGCTTTCGCGCGAAAACTTGATATCTTCACATGTGAAAATAACATGTTATCTATCAACGTTGCTAGGGCTACATAATAAATCACGCTTTTCACACCGATAAAACTATTAAAGAGAAATGGTTTGGTATTTCATTGGTGTTTATGAGCTCACTCCTGAAATATTTTTCAACACTCAAAGAGAAATTTCGTATCTCCGCGCGGCCATGTAATATCCTCTATATAAAGTATTCAGTACATAAATAACGTTTTAGAACGTAAGTTATAGAGGTCAGGAACAGGAATCTACGCCCACACGAATGAAATTAATCTATTAGAACATTATATTACCGGTCGCAACTAATCAAGTAACGAACACTTCTTTATTACGTCACAATAAGAGATCATTAATGGATTAATGAACCCAATGTAAAGACCCCTGATGAAGGCAGAAGCCGAAACGCGTTGAGACTGAATAAAGTTTTTATTTGTTGGAAGACGACGATTCTCTTTTGTGCAAATTATATATATATATATATATATATATATAGTATATTATATTATATTATTTATTTATTTATTTATTTATTATAGACTTCTCTTTTTCCTCTTGTGCCCGCCTCGAACAGCCCTTGCTAATTTCGGGCACATGCTTTGTAAGCTATACTTATCTTGAAATAAACTTGTTGTTGTTGTTCTAAAGAAATGATTGACCCAAATTTAGAGAGCTTTGTATGGAGCTACCATGTTAGTGCCCATCTGGATGGGCACCGACATGAAAACCAACAGAAACATCTGTCACTAAGTTTTTGCCACGAAAGCGTGAATTTATCTCTCGAAGAAATAATAAGCATTAAAGTAATACTTTTTCTACTAGAAATAAGTTG